CTTAGACGTGGCACGAGATGGAAAGTATGGAGCACCTAGTGATGATCGAACACTCTGCTCAGTCGTAATTGATCTAGTGAGATAAACTTGCTAATCGTTAAACCAAGTCGAAGTGCTCATATTGATTTACTAAGTGTAGCTTAGATGTGACACAAGGCCAAATGTGGGGGGGGGCACCAAGGGGATCGAACTCACTATTCAGTCGCAACTGATCTAGCGAGACAAGTTTGCAAAGCATTACTTCACGTGAAAGTGGCCCCACGCACACACACACATACATATATATATATATATATATAATAAATGATATATATGTGTGCGTTTATGTATAATTTGTTATATATAAATATATAATAATGCTGAGTGCATGTGTGTGTGTGTGTTTGTGTGTGTGTGCTTTCGTGTGAGCTTATAGTGGTAAATTCAAGACACGTGCCTATTTCATCTTTATAACTCTATTTGCCAGCATCTACAATTTTATAACTGGAGAAATTTTTATTTGATTTCATAAATTATTAAATAACCTGTCGATGGAATTATTTCTTCACCATTTTTACAAATTGCTATTAGTTTCAATTTAATGGATGCTTTTGTCTCGACCAAATTTGATTTACCACAATAGATAAACACAAATATCAAAATTATGATATCCGTCTGTTCATATATTTTCACCTCTTTATACAACAATACAATATCTATTTTTATATGCATAGTACCCGTCAAAAAGACCAGCTCATTTACGTACATATCGGCATTTTGGCCTAGGATCAAAGTGCATGCTACCGGATATTCTGACGGATCAAGGTGTAGTATCTGTTCTCTCTTTCACTTAAAGTTTTGAGGCGTACCTGGTCCAGACGACTGCAACCTTGCGGCAACACCTTCCTCAATGTAAGTTTGGTGGATACTGACTAGAATTTAAAATCGTCAACGAAATGTGTTTTTATTAGTTAGCAGCAGGACACCTTGAAGACTGTAAATAATCAATTCTTTTCAAATTCTTACCAACTTTCCTAAAATTTTAAAATAAAAACTGCAATAAAACTATCGAATTATTTAATTAGATAAGTTTTTAATTGCTTTTATAAATAATATACAGAGGTTGGACAAAATAATTGGAACGCTTGTTAAATTTTAAAAAAATTTATTTAATATAGAGTTGGTCCTCCTTTAGCCTCACAGACAGCTTTAATACGTCTAGGAATGGAATCATACAGCTTCCTGACTTCATCCAGAGGAATTTTCAGTCATTCTTCCATTAAAACCTTCTCCAGCTCTTTACGACATGATGGTGAAGGATAGCGGTTCCTAACTTGTTGCTCCAAAATTCACCACAAATGTTCAATAATATGGACATCTTGAGATTGGGGAGGCCTCTCCACGTGTTCTAGCTCACTTTCATGCTCTTTCTACCAATTCTTAACCACTCGAGTGGTATGTATTGGAGCATTATCGTCTTGGAAGATGCAGTTACCATCAGGGAATAAAGTCTTGGCCATTGGATGAACATGATCTCCCAAAATGTTCAGGTAATCTTTGCTGTTGATTCTACCATGCAGGTAGACATTTCCATGATATGGCGGCTGTTCCACCTCCATGCTTCACTGTTGGAAGAAGGCAGTCAGCGTTGTAAGCTTCTTTAGGCTGCCTTCATACATAAACTCGCCATTAAATTTGGGAAAAGAGAAAAACTTGACTTGTTTGAGAATATGACTTACTTCCATTGGTCTGCAGACCAGACATTATGATCTCTGCACCACTTCAACCTCTTCTGAATGTTGCAAGTGGAGGGAAGAGGTTTCCTCGCGGCGGCTCTTCCATGATATGCAGCCTTATGGAGCTCACGGTGAACAGTTTTAGTAGAAACTGAACTATTCAGATGGTTATTCAACTCAGCAGTCACTTTGGCCACATTTGTCCGATGAGTTTTTGCCACATTGCGTTTCAATGCACGTCAGTCCCAATCAGTAAGTTTGCAAGTCCGGCCCGAATTGCTACGGTTGCTAAAGGTTTTACCCTCTTTATTGAATTGCATCAGTGTTCTTGATATCGTAACTCTTGAAAGACCAAACAGTTTAGTGACCGAGGCTCCTGCCATGCGAGCTCCAACAATTTGCCCTTTTTCGAACTCGGGGAGGTCACGCATTTAGCTTAGATTTTACTAAATTCTAAAAATAAATGAGACAAAGCCAGTAAATTAGATAAATAAACGTCTTTACAATAGATATAACCTGCAATTACGAAGTTTTAGTTAAAGTTCTTAATACAATAGGTCTTTGAAATATACGAGTGGATTTTGCAACTGTTCCAATTATTTTGTCCAACCCCTGTATATTAAGGACATTATAGTCTCAAGAAAATTTCTTTCTATGATTAATCCTTTTTTACAAGAATTGTTTGCATTTTTCGTTTTAATTTATAAAGTTACAAAAAATTTTTAAAAATTCTTCCAAACATTATCAAAGTTAGGTTATTAAGCTATTAAATGAAGACTATATTTACTAAACGAAAACTGAAAAGCTTAATACAAATCATCATATCAAAAAATTTTAAAAAAATGTTCTTTTTTTAAATTATCGTTTTTAAAAAAATTGTTTATTTGTGTCATCTCACTTGCGAAGACGATTGAAGAGTCAACTGAAGAGAAGAACGTCCATTTTCAGGGCCACAAAATATTCCGAAAAGTCTTATAACTGTTATGAATGGTAGCATTTTTTCATATATTGTTTGTGGTAGTGGATTATGCGCAAATAAAATCACTGTACAATTAGCGAAATAATAATAAAATTTAACTACTTTAAAAATTTAATAAATAAAATAACTTTAATATTTCATAACTATCAGGACATAGCAATTAATAATAAAGAATAAAATGAAAAAAATAAAATCTAATAATTTCAAATTTCACGCATGGTACATAACTAAGTTAAAAAACAAAAACAAACCGTTTTCACTTAGAATTCGTAAATTTCTATCAATTCTGGTCTACCATACTTAACCTGAGAACACCTTAAGCCGTCGATATATCGACGAAGAAGTGTGAATAACAAGACCCCGTGGTTAAGAAATGCTTGTATACCACATTTTATGTTATAAGTATGTAATATTTTTTTGAGAACAGATTAATTTAACTTTAAATTTGCTAATTTTCTGCAAATAACGTTTCATTTTAATTTTGCAAGATTTTTAAAACTGAGAATTAACTTTTGTTAAAATGGCTGATACGATTGTTTTTTTTTTCTGAAAATATGAATCAACTAAAAATCATTCTAATTTCTATCAGAAATACACCACAGTATTTTGCTTTCTGGAATTAGAAAATGTAATCCTTAGCTTCGAAATGAAGCTAAAAGGAAAACTTCAAGAAAATTTTACATTTATGTAAATTCATTTAAATCTTAATAATGAATTATTGGAGGTACCTATATATATATATATATATATATATATATATATATATATATATATATATATATATATATATCATATTACAAAATTCATATAAAAAATTCTCACTTGAAATTTTGAACTTTAGCGTTGCGACGAGCACGTTCCGAGATTGTACAACCGTCAATAAATAGCACATTCGTAAAAAACATCTGTCGGTCTACAAACAATTATTTTGTCTTCAAGTTTTAACTTTAAAGGAAAAAAATTACAGCCTGACGATGAAGACATGGATCTTCGAAAGTACTTGCTCAACTTTTAAAAATATACACTAGAAACATCTGACAACAGTTTTATGAATGAGGATCACATCATTCAATGAATTAACAGTATTTTAATGTATACATTATGTTCTTTTAGCGAAGTGATTTCGCCATTAATCGCATTAATATTGCCGATTGATTCTATATATGATTATTTTATATATATATATATATATATATATATATATATATATATATATATATATATATATTCAACATCGAACACCGACATTTAACACCAAATCTTATCAACCGAGAGATTCAAAAGATTTCCACACAATGAGCTATGTACCCAGCCTCTTTCTTTAATGGAAATAGGTTTGTAGACAGGCGATGTTTCTTGGTTAAATCCTGATAGACATGCTTTCGCCCTTGGCGTATCAAGATTTTCTTCCTTTTTTGCGAGGAACGATTTTGTTCGGCTTTTGTGTCGGTCAAATTTGGCGAGAAATTTACTATTGCAATTTCCTGAGGTGGGGTTGTAAGAAGAGGAAAAGGACATTGTGAGAGATAAAGTGCAGAGAAATAGAGAAAAGGAGAGAAACCACTATATATATATATATATATATATATATATATATATATATATATATATGCATTTACATACATGTACATGCATATATAACTGCGGCCATAGAAGACAGATATGCAGAGACACAAACTCACAATCACTCATTAAGAAGAACCAGAACAAAACGAAAAAAAAAAACTTTTTCCGAATGAAGGAAGGAATTAAGGAAGGGAGATTGAAGAATTATAAAAGAAATCCTAAAAGGAAAGTAAAAGAGAAAAACAAATGCATTGAAGGAGGAGGAGGAGGAGGAGAAGGAGGAGGAAGGGGAATGGTGGATGATGTAGAGGAGCGGGAGGAGGAGAGAATGGAAAGAAAATGACACGAACGACAATACAAAAGGAATTTTAAAAGCATATGAAGAAGAAAGAATTTCACGTAAACGAGAGAAAATGTCGGAAAAGAAAGCCGAAAAACAAAATAGCCAAAAAGAAAGAAAAATAAACAAAGGCGAAAGAAATAATAGAATGTCAATAAAAAGAAGAAATAAAATGATTGAGAGACCATGACAGATAGGAATGAGAACGTAAGAAGAATACAAAAAGAAAGAAAAGTAAGAAATAGTTTCAGAAGAAAGAAAAAAACAAAGGATTAATAAAAGAATAAAAATACAAAGAAAGAAAAAAGAAAAGGCTTCAGAAGAAAGAAAAGGGAATAATAAAAAAAAGAAAAATACAAAGATAGAAAGAAAAGATTTTAGAAGAAAGAAATAAACAGTGCTAAACGAAGGAAAAAGACAAAGAAAGAAAGAAAGATAGAAAGAAAGAAAGACAGAAAGAAACAAAGGTTTTATGAAAAAGCAATAAGTGGGAAAAAAGTAAAAGAACAATCCTTTAAAAGTCAAAGAAAAAATAAATTTAGCAGATGAATAAAAATAAATGTAGGGAATTATAATATCGCCATGCACTAAGATTGGAATAAAATAAATGATCGTTTCACGTTACAATGAGATAATAGTCTTTTTTTGCTTTATTTTTTTTTTTTGTCGTTTTTGTCGTTTTTTTTTTTTTTTTTATTTCTTTTTCAATTGATTCGCTTGCGTGTTCGCTCTAAAAATCATCAAATTTTGCATCCCTTCTTTGTCGGATACACTTATACAGATAGATAGATAGATAGAGAGAGAGAGAGAGAGAGAGAGAGGTTTTAAAACATCTTATTAAAATTGACCGACAATTTCTCCAATTTTTATATCTTCTTTGTTTGTTTGTAGTACATCCGAATTAGGTTTGTGGAAGTTAAAATTTCAAATTCATACATATATATATATATATATATATATATATATATATATATATATATATATATATATATATATATATATATATATATATATATATATATATATATATATATATATATATATATATATATATATATATATATATATATATTTCCAAGAGGATAGAATCAAGGTAGAGCTCAATGTCTAGGACAGAGCAAGAATATAATATAAAAAGCTCAAACACTAATATTCCGTGGTTATAATTTATTTCATTGGAATCGTAATCACGATCCAATTCATCAAACCTACAAATTCAAAAAGAAGTCGGAAAACTTTTTCCGATTTCCTTTTGAATTTGTAGGTCTGATGAATTGGTTCGTTATTACGATTCCAATGTAATAAATTATAATCATGGAATATTAGTGTTTGAGCCTTTTTATATTATATATATCATATGTGTCATGTGTCTTGTTTTGAAGACCTAATTTTGAAGCTAATTTTAAGAGGTTCGCATCATTCAGGAGATATAAAATTAGCGTATGTACTGCTGGCCATGGCTACACCGCTATATATTCATTTACTATAGTCAAATTAGCTTCAAAATTACGTGTTCAAAAGTCGCATGATACGCGAGTATATATGATATATTTAAGTCTCGATTTCGATATTCCAGCCACTATCTTTTCAAATTTACAAACATTTGGGCGAGGGGGAAAGACGATGTTTTGATGACCGCTGATAAATAAAAAAAAAAATTTTTTAAATCGTTGAATTTGGAAACAAACAAAATATCGCTGATCAGTTTTATTTTCAGTTCGAAAAATTTCAATAGCAAAATGAAGTAAAATTGCCCCTCTAGTCTCTGTTGAAAGTTCTAATAGTTTTTCCAGTTGATCATAAAGGTATCGCCATCGAAGACTTTAACAGTAATTATTCACGATATCTTAATGCAACTAAGCATTTACAATCGACCTGGCGCAGAAATGCACGTAGCCATCACGAATTGAAGAGAAAATCGAAGGCTGACTCTTTTTAAAGCTGAAGATCTAACGCCGATCAACCTGTTTGATTAAATGCTATTGGAAATCTTATTGTAAAGGAAGCAAAAGAACGTGATCAAAGGTTAGGTTGGTGAGAGAAAAATAAAAGGAAAAGTTAATCACAGCTGATCGATAAAAAAAGATCTGGTGTTGTGAGAAGAGGAAAAGTCTTCTAAAACCGAAATTAAATAAGGTGTGAAGTATTAAAGTGTTGAAAATTAAGATGGTAATCTAGGTATGAGAACATATCGAGGGAATTTAGATGAACAAAATATTACAAAGAGGGAGGGCGAATGTGTATGTGTGTGTATGAAAGAAAGAAAGAACGAAAAGAAGAAAGAGAGGGAAAGTTAATGATACAAAGAAAGAGAGAGAAAAAAGAGAGTGAATACGTAATATATACATATGTATTAATATGATCAGACAGATAGAAATGTATAGACTGCGAAAGTAAGCTAGCTAGATAGATAGATATAAACAGACTGCGATAAATAGATAGGAACAGACTGCGATAAATCGATCGATAGATATATATGAACAGACTGAGATAGATAGATAGATAGATAGATAGATAGATATGAACAGAGATAGATAGATAAATAGATATGAACAGAGATAGATAGATAGATAGATAGATAGATAGATAGATAGATAGATAGATAGATAGATAATGAACAGAGATAGATAGATAGATAGATAGATAGATAGATAGATAGATAGATAGATAGATAGATAGATAGATAATGAACAGAGATAGATAGATAGATAGATAGATAGATAGATAGATAGATAGATAGATAATGAACAGAGATAGATAGATAGATAGATAGATAGATAGATAGATAGATAGATAGATAGATAGATATGAACAGAGATAGACAAATAGATAGATATGAACAGAGATAGATAGATAAATAGATAAATAGATAGATATGAACAGAGATAGATAGATAGATAGATAGATAGATAGATAATGAACATAGATAGATAGATAGATAATGAACATAGATAGATAGATAGATAGATAGATAGATAGATAGATGATGAACAGAGATAGATAGATAGATAGATAGATAGATAGATAGATAGATGGGAACAAACCGATATATCACGAATTGAATTATTCAATTCAATGCCTTCAGAATCCACTCGAGACAGACAGAGTTTTCCACGATGATTGTAGGAGATTTTACGGTATTACAGAGAGTGACCGAGGAGGACACTCATGCCTGTAGAAATGCTATGTAGGCTTCGCTTAACATATTACCGAATTTATTTGCAATGTCCGGGGAAATAGAACGATCTAGGGATCGTGCTTTGTAACACAGCCTCAGGAGTTCTCTTCTTGATGGCAGAGCGGGTTTAAGAGATCTGACGACTTTTAAATGTGTGACCGGCAATGGAGATGTTTGAATCTGTTTGTACGCTCTGATTGGACGTAAAACCAAAGTATACTAAAAACTATACGGTTTTAACTTAGTATGAAATTTTACTAATAGTCTATTTTGCCGATCCCGGTAAAATAGACACGAAGCCTATTTTGCCGGTAAGTATAAATAATGTTTTAGAACTAACAATATATTATATTTGAGATCGTCAGCGCAGTGATTGTGTGTGCTGCGTAGGCACGCCTTGAACAACATGGATTCTGTCGTCTGTAACTGTTGTCTTCAGTGGAAGTGTATTGGCAAGAGAACCCTGCCCAATGGTAAGTTTGAGATTTACAGAGACTGTTATGCCTGAAACGCTTAAAATATTCAGAAACTTCTATATTTCTTTTAATAATTCACGATGAATAAATGATTTCATCTTGTGTTTTAACAGTTGATGGTGAAAAAGATTTTAAATTGTCTTGAAGATGAAAATAAATAAAATTCTGTTTTAAATCTATGTCGTTATTTTAACATTACCTGCCTTCATAATGATAGAAAAATATTTCCGAGCAAATTAGCCTGAGGGTCCATTTTACAGAAACCGGTAAAATAAACCTAAAAGCATCTTTGTCTATTTTACCGGGATTGGTAAAATTGTCTCTTCCAAAATTTGACCGCATTTTCGAGTTAGCTTTCGAAACAGTCGCTTTCGTGTAAACGCATTTTGTAGCTGAATTTATTCTTTGTCGTTTTCATCTTTTATAACAATGTCTTCTGTTTCTATTTTACCTTCTGATCCTCATTATTATTATTATTACCCTTCTTCATTTTCTCTTACTACCTCCAGTCCCGTGTATGTTGATAAACTACATCCGGCAGCAAGGACTCTGATCGCGAGATTGGAGGTTTGAGTGTCGTGGAACCACCTCTAAATTGTTCTTGTTCCCAGTTCCGCCCTGATCTAAGGTTGTAGAACCTGTTAGGGTCCCAGCTATGGGAAAATAATGTACCTCCAAACAAAAACAAAACACTATGAAAATATAAAATATACATTTTAATAATAAAAATACCAGCAATACATTTTGATATAGTAAAATTGCCAACAATATCTGTTATTGAAGGCATATGATTGCGTTGCAAATATATTTAATTGGATCCATAAAATATATTTAATTGAATCCATGAAATATATTTAATTGAATCCATAAAATTGATTACAAATTATTTAGATTTCGGCATTAAATAACCCATAGAAGTTGATACACCCTAAACAAAATCAAATAATTAATCAATCTTACTACCTCCTTTACTCTTCTACTACTTCTTTTTCTTTTTCTTCTTCTTTTTCTTCTTCTTCTTCTTCTTTTTTTCTTCTTCTTCTTCTTCTTCTTCTTCTTCTTCTTATTATTATTATTATTATTATTATTATTATTATTATTATTATTCATTTTTCTCTTTGGCTATTTTCGTCTTCTCGCTCTACATTTCACTTTTATCCTCCCTATTAATATTACATTTTAATCGATTTCACCCCATGCAAGGAAGTAAAGCCACTAAGACACAAGGGATTTAGTAGGTGTGGAACAATTAGAGACAGAAACATTAATGATGAGCAGGAAGAGAAAAGAGAAAAGAGTTTTGCGGATTAAAGTTGGCTGGAAAGCATGGGGCCGGAAAGGAATTCCACAAGCGAGAAGTGCGAGAAAAGAAACTGTTAGCATAGAACTTACGGATACATCTAGCCAGCTGAAATCTAAATTGGGCATATCCCGACGCCAGTCTAATATTGCACTTAAATTCAACATGTCTACGTACCATAACAAAGAGCTCATCCGAACAATTAACGTGAAAGTATTTATAGAAAAGACATAAGGGTACAACCTTATTAGTAGTCATATTAGGAACTGAGTGAGCGAGAAGACAACCAACAATTAGACACTAGGGCAGAAATACTCGACGCCCAGACACATAAAGCTATATCAGGCAAATGTATCACAGCTAAATGTGCGCAATATGGTGATAAGTTTTGGTAAAACATTGCTACATTGAAAGTCGGGTAACATAGTCCACTCAGACTAGATGAAATGTCCAAGCTGTCATGGCTGCCTCATACTTCAAACTTAAATAGCAACCCTCTCGACTTCTGGCAATAATACTCCACCATTACTCCTACTCATGAACAGAGATGCACAGTGTGTCAGCTTTTAGGGCATTCTTTTCATTCTTTTTTTGCGTTGTCGCCCACTTTCACGTAGAAGAAATTTCTCCCGCCCACCTGTATCGTGAATATTCAAAAGCATACAAAACTTGTTTGGTAAAAGTTTCTTTCTGATTCATAAACTGACTTCATGATGCGATAAAATATAGCAAAGGGAGGTAACAAAAAACGCTGTCTTATGCGGCTATTGTTACGATTAATATATTAAAGAACAAATGAAAGCAAACTTGTCCATTGAAAACTATATACAGTGGAACCTCGGTTTATGAATTTAATTTGTTCCTGAAGCCCGTTTGTAACCCGAAATGTTCTAAAACCGAGACTATTTTGTCAATAAAAATCAATGTAAAATGGATTAATCCGTTCCTGGTCCCAAGATGATTGCTTATTTAAACTTTAACAACAGTACTTTGGGCACAAGTTTATACACAAAACTAATGAAAATCATTAAATCTAAAAAAAAAAAACAATACTAAAGAGATAAAATATAGATAAACAGTTCAATTTTATCGTACTTGCATGTAGCAGAGCTGATGGCGTAAATGGAAGGGGAAGGAAAGAAAGAGATGTTATTGTTTGGAAAAGGGAAGGAAAGACATGGTCGTCTCTTTATTTATAAGAATAGTATAGATCGTTGATTTTACCATATGAAACTGAGACAATATCATCATCATAGAGACAGTGTCATCAACAATTGTTTTTCTCTTAATTTTTCTTTTTCCTTTACCAGTATCACTGTTAGCTTTCTTTAGAGCCATGACTGAGAACTAAAGAAGAGAAAAAAGTCACAGTAAAATAAAATTGGAAAAGAAAAGCACAGCACAATACACGAATGTATACAAGATGGCGGTCGACTAAGAAATGATTCCGTTCGGGTTAACACGGTTCGGTAATGTTGTTCGAGAACCGAAAATTTTGTTTGATAACCGAGGCATTTTCATCTCGAATATTCTGTTAGAAAATCGATTTGTTCGAGAACCCAGGTTGCACTGTATATATAATTTAGTTTTATGGTCAAGATTAGTTTTAAGGTTAGGGTAAGGATTGCAAGTGTTGACAAAAAATTAAACGTTTTTTGATCATGATTATAAAATTAAAAATAAAATGCTCAACTAGCAACAAATAACAATTCTGCGACTATTTTTTGTTGTTCTTGGTCTTCCATTATATGATTTATATGCGAAAACATTATATCGTTTGAAGAACGATTTGAATGTTAAACTATAAAGACTACCAAAATATTCGTTGTTTTCAGGTATATTTTATATCTTATCTAGGAATGTGATGCATTTATTCCCATTTAGACTCCTGTTTACTTTTTTGTTTTTTTATACATGTTCTTTGCACATCTCCTTCAAGTAGTATATGTTGAAATACATTTTTAATACTCAAAATCATATATCGCCCATCAAATCTTCCACCATTTTCTGTTCAGATGCTCATCGCCTACCCAACTGTCGGAATCGCCCACTGGTGGTCGATATCGCCCAGGTTTGGAAAATCTGCTCTAGAAACATCCTCACCTGCTTATGGTGAAGCAAGTGACAAAAAAAATATGTCGTGCCGAAAGGTATATTTAGTGTCACCCATTTTAATTCACTAAGATAAAACATGGACTTGAATTAATATTGTTGTTGTTGCTGCTGATGATGTTTTACTTAAACATGTTTTTAGTAATATATAAAGACTTATTCAAATATGCTTAGAGTTAATTCACTGTTTGTTAGCATTTAATAATAATGTTACTTAGTCATGAGTACTACATTTGGATTAGTAATAAATCAGCGATCATTGATAGACTTTTTGACACTAGAAGCTTGCTTGCCAATGACAGTATGTCCTCAGGCAAAGTCTGAAGGAGAAATGTTGTTACAACGCAATCACGCCTGGCCGCATTACCGTGAAAAAATGGTGCAAAGCCTGAACTTCACGGTCGTGGTACAGCATTTGTACAGCCACGACTTGACACCATCAGATTTCCGGTTGTTCCGGAAACTGAAAGATAGGTCAAAAGGTCAACATGTTTTATCCAATGGCGAAGTTGCTGTATATAAATAGTTTATAAATAGATACCGCCAAAGATTCGCTAAAGAATGAACATACCAAGATGAAAAAATAATGTTTTATCGTCAACATCTTTGTTATTATTAGGAGCAAAGACCAAAACGATTTTTAAATTATTAAATTATATTTTTTAATTCATTTTAGAATAGGTACCTCCACGAAACCGTTAAAAAATCAACATAGCGTGATGAATACCTGTATCAAACGTAATGAAAAAGTTTACCGTCAAAATCTTTGAGTTAAAAAGAAGGATCAAAGTATTTTGTTGATTATTTACATTTTTTGATCATTTTTAGAACACTCGAAGTTTCGATTAAAAACTTGTTTTTCTTGTCTCAGCAGTACTAACTTTTAGCATATCAAATTTATAGCCTCCATTTCTGCGGTGATAGACACATTAATTTGGAAATTCTTACAAAAATCAAATAACTGTAGGATTTTAATGAAATTTTCAGGACTTATTCACGAATGAATGAAATTATTTTTTATCAGA